CCCGGGCTCAAACCCTAAACCCTAAAACCTAGACCCTAAAACCTAGACCCTAAACCCTAAGCCCTAAGCTCTAAACCCGAAACCCTAATTAAAGAAGTGGACTTAAGCATAGAGTAAACCCAGGATGAGCAGCCGCATCAAGCTTCTAACCCCCCCCTGCAAACTCGCCAGCTTGAGGGTTTAGGGTTTAGGGTCACATGATTTTTTGGTGGTATCTTATTGGGTTTAGGGCTGAAGGTTTAGGGTATGTTGTGAGTGCTGTATTTTTCCGGTTTTAAACACATCAAGCCATTAGTGAGATGATGTCCTGCCCTGTCATACATGAAAAGGCTATGCAAGGTTTAACAGCAAATACAATCTGTAAGCTGTCCCTCCAAATCCGCTTTATCGGATAAGAGAATTATATGCAGGTTTCACAGATGAGACATTGTCTAAACTCCTAGTATCCCCGTTAATAACCTCTATAGTACTCCCGATATAGTCCCTCTGTAACCCCCCTTTAGACTATAGCAGAGATGAAGTCTGAGAAGTCAGTACACCTGAAGAGGCCCTAGGAATATGCACCAGCTTTTCAAAATTACACGTGCGCAACCTTTCGTAGGGATCCCTAATAATCCGTTCAAAGCCCCCGTGTATCCCTAGGTCCCATGGGCCCCTGCATGTTGAGAAGCCCTGACCCACACCCTCAACCTGTCAAGGCATGACAAAGAAAATAGAGTCCGTGAGAGTGACCTCTTATATTCATGGGGGGATCGCTAGTGACTCCAACTTCATGACGGTAATCCCCCTAGACCTATAAGAAAATGATTTCGAATAATTCGTCAGACTTAGCCCATAAATCACAAGTTCAAAACACTTCCTAAGGAAACAGTGAAAATTGCGAAGAGCGACGCCTCTAGAGAGAATCTGGGCTAAGGACGCTGTCTACATCCTCAGCGTCACGTTCCAGCTCGTTGGCCTCTACCTCCGCGTCTTTCCTGGGAGGTTTAAAGGGTTTAGGGTTTGGGCTTACACAGGCCAACCCCAACAAGGGACTTGGAACCTCATGTATCTGCAATCCCCCTAGGCCCATATTGCAAATGGGTGGATTCTTCCTTATGGTTATACTATAACAAGAGTCCTAAGGTGACTACACTTATAATCTATTTCTGAGTCCCTTAGGCCTTCAGTTCACTCTAAGAGCCTCAACCCTAAACCACCCTGTCTCAGTGCTACTTCTTGGGCCCGCATAAATACTCGCCATGAAGGAATTTGTCAACATTGATGGTCTTGTTGGGGGCAGCTCATACGCCAAGTTATCTAGAAAAAAGTCCCCAGGTTAACCCTTGCTTTGCAGGTTTAGGGCTTAGGATTTGGGGTTTAGAGTTTAGGGTTGTGGGATTGGGGTTTAAGGGCTCCATCGGGCATGCCTGAAGTTAGTTTGAGAAACTAACGTTTGAAGATGGCTTCTGTTACACTGCTGGTCTGGAGATATGGCTCCAAATAGCGCGTACTTAGGCCTACTCTAGATGGAGGGTAGGTGGAGGGCCTACCAGGGACCAGCCCAAAATTTCAGAAGGCTGCTGAAAGCTCCCTAAAACCCCAAACCCTAAAACCTGCATTCCCGAACCCTACATCCTTAGTCCAACATCCTAAACCCTAAATCTTAAACCCTGAACGCGTCAGAGCGGCCGATGATGCCAAACCTCAGCTCTTCCCAATGCGGCTTACTGTTTACGAATCTGGGGCGTTTAGAGTTAAGGGTTTTGGGGCTTGAGGGTCTAGGGTTTGGGGGCGTTAGGGTTTGGGGACTGTAGGGTTTAGGGTTTTTGGGGCTTTGGGGTTTAAGGTGTTGGTGCATTTTAGGGTTCAAGGTTTACATTTTGGAGGGTCACGGCTTAGGGCCAACAGGGACCCTGGATGTTGAACCGGAATGTTCAAGGTCAAGCTAGTAGTTTCCATGAACAGGTTTAGGGTTTAGGGCTTAGGGTTCCTTATTACACGACCCCAAAAACGTAACCCTGCTTCTGGGAAACCATAATCCATGTAAATCCTTATCCATCGTCAGTTCCAATGTCATTTTGACTTAACAAACAAGAAAGCCTTTCTTTTTCGTAAGCACCAAAAACCTTTAAACCCTCACACCCTTAAAGCTTAAACCCTAAACCCTTAATTACACCCTTAAACCCTTCCACCCTAAACCCTTAGGGCTTTGAGCTTATGGCTTGCTAGAGCTTTGGGACCTCCAGGTTCAGGCTTGTAGGGGCTGCAAAGGGCCTTAGAGAAACCCTGGGGATACCAAGGCCTAGGGTCGAGGGTTATAGGGTCTAGGGTTCTAGGGTTTAAGGGTTTAGGGCCTTAGAGAAACTCTGAATATTGAAGGCACACAGCTCGCATCTCTTTTAGGGCTTAGCTTTACGAGCTGTAAGAGTTCTTGTGGAATCTTCTCCCTAAACTCTTCTCCCTAAACCCTAATCCCTGAGCCCTAATCCCTTAACCCTAAACCACAAGCCTTCGGGTTGAGGATCTAGGCTACAAGGAGTGGCAATTGAACCCTGTCAACCATGGTTCTGGTTCAGGCTTAGTGTGCGGGGTTTATTGCAGACAGGGTTGTTGAGAAGGCACATAACATTTTCATATCCAGGCTTCCTTCAACCAAAAAAGCTTAGTGGGAGCTTCAGGTAAGGCTCACCCAAACTGAAGGGCCTTCTGACGGGTTAGAAGTAAGGATAGCGATATAGTTGGTTTATGATTACTCTGAACATCCTAACAGGCCACGGCAGGATCATGCACCCTCTGACACCGTAATCCTGACTATTGGCATTCCCAAAAGCGGCCCCCAAATATTTGGAACCCAGAAGGCGCTCAGAACGCAAGACAGGTGAACAAGCTGGTAGCCTTCCGACTCTCAGTAGTTCAGCGCAGCTTTCATCCAGATATAACTGTAGCTGTAACTATCATGCAATCATAACCCCATTGGGGGGCCCTTATTTTATGACTACAACTTGGATTTTAATGCAGTGTCTCAACCCTAAACCCTAAACCCTTACAGTGTTAGGTAGGTACCTCCAAACAGCCCTGTAGCCTTCACAAATCTAAAATCAGGCACCCTGTATACGGTTTCCTCATCGTTGGTCCAGAGAAAACCTTGTAGGATTGCCTTTGCCTGACCCAAGACGATAGAACCTTTTGGTAACCCCTTACTCCCTTAACCCTAAACCCTAAACCCTTAACCGTATACCCTAAACTATCCTTTGACTACAATAAGACCACAACTTCCGGGGCTGGAGCTAACCAAAATCCTCAAACATTACAAGAACAAGCCCGTCCCATCTGTAGAAGTTACGTTTAGTTCAGGCCTAAGGGTCCAAGAACTCAAATAATGGGGTTTTAGGGCCCAAATAGTCTGAAGGGTATTTGCGATCTGAAGCCCTAATATTTAGGTCCTTGGACCCTTAAGGCAGGGTAAGCCAAAAACAGCGCCTAGGAAGTTCAGGCTTTAAAAAAAGGACAGGAGCCGAGTGTAATGGTCTAGCTTGCCCTCGGTTTCCTACCGTTTTGGGATGAAGAAGCCTCTTAGTCTGGATAGTAGGGTTGGGCTTTAGTCGTTTTTGTGTCTAAGGTCTAGGGGTTTAGGGCTTCCAGGTCAAAATCCACTAGGTCGCCCACAGCAAAACCCTAGTTCCAAGTTTTGGCAAACCACTTGGAGTGTCCCTAAGACACAGCATTGGGGGATTCTTAGAGTTTCAGCGCAGAGCCGCCGCCGCCGTGCGTCAGGGATATGTGCAACTGGCGCCATCGCCGTAGATTGCTTGCAAAAACACATGCAGAAATCGGTGCTTTTTCCCCTAAACCCTAATCCCTAACCCTAAACCGCGTGGGGCGGAGACCTTTATGAATAGGGAAGAGAGTTTCAGTAACGTAGGATCGTCGTGAGGTCCATCTGAGCTGCCCTTTTACATAGGTTTAGGGCTTCAGCCAGCTTACCATCATCATACTAGGAGTCTACGACAGTAATGTTGGAAATCATTCAGCTTTGCCCGGCATCTCATATTATGGTGGGTGGCGGTTCTCGTGTTAGGGAGAGGGGACTAATCAGCAACCCCAAACCCAATCTTACTGGTTGTAAGGAATAAAGGAAGAATATTCCTATGCAAGATGTTCCCTTATTGACTATACCCTAAAACCTGTACTTAGAACGTATTCCCTTATTCCCCACTAAGACTGCCCGAGAAGCTGGGCAAACCCAGGACAGGATGGCAGCGATCACTGCGATGCACGGCCGAAGAAGCACGCAGCCCTCCAAACAGGAGTTGAGATTATCATGGTAAGGGGTCAGGGTTTAGAGGTTATACCTGGAGTTATAATCCAATCAAGCATTCTTAAAGTAGATCGTCATGACCTTGAACCTCCGTGCTCCATGAGTACGGTTCGGGGGGCTTGCCAATGAATTACAGGAGTTGTCGAATCGTGGATAGCTTGCCATAATTCAGAGACGCCATCAAGAAGGCCGTTTTGGGACTCTGTTGCAAATGGCTCAGATGAATCTTCTGAGTTGTCATGTATGATCCCAACTTGGGAAGGCTAGAAGAGAATAGGATCCTCAGGCCCTCAAAAGCCCCGAACCATCAACCCCAAACCCTGGGTTCAGGCTTGAGGGGAATACTTGCAAGAGCGACCTCTCGGGTGACAAGGTCTTTGGGGGTCTTTCGGGACCCTCGAGCGGAAACTCAAGAGCTGAAGGAATTCTGGCTGTAGGGTTTATAGGGTTTAGGATGCAGGGTCTTGGGGGGAGCATGCTCGAGGAAAATCCCTAATGATGTAAAAAGTAGTTTCCCAACATAGAGGGACAAAAATACAGACCTTAATATACTATAGCCCTTATGGGCCCCAAAATGGGGCCCCTAATTTTGGGAAATCCCCAATTCTTCAATGAGGGGCTGCCTACAATTACATTGTAATCGCTGCATCTTCATAGGGCTCCTCAGAGGGGCCTGGAATGTAACCTATAAACGCTAGATTTAGGGTCTAGTAGGTTGTCGTATTAGAGCTCAGGCAGTGGGTAATCCCTTCACCGTGCGCTTTGGCCCAACCACCCGGTCAATGACCATTGTGTAAGTTACCCATTAATCGATCCAAAAAATGCAGGGGTACAAAGGTGGTTGGGACCGTCAGAAACATCCGCGTGCACTGGGGTTCTTTGTTGTAGAGCTGATTAACTGCAGCTGGAAAGCAAACCATGTAGCGCGGGAAGGGCAGGCCGTAGAGGCCGGCGTGTGCGCGAAACGGTAAAAAATGGGCAAGTGCTGAACTTGCGCCCAACCTGTGGCCGCAGCTTCGGGTTGCCAAGTTTGTTGGTTCAGGATGGGCGGGGGCAAGACTAAACCCGATACGGGTCTGTCAAAAGAAGCTAACCCCTAAGGGTCCAAGGACCCAAATAATGGGGTTTTACGGCCCAAATACTATAATGTCAAAAGTATTTGGGCCCTAAAACCCTGTTATTTAGGTCCTTGCACCCTTAGAAAAACATCACAGAGGACAAAACCGCGTGCCTAGAACTTTCTTAGATCGGGCGAGGTGTAGGCTATAACTATAACTTACAACGAGGGATCCGTTCTCCGCTCACCTTTACTCAAAAGGCCCAATAACCCCCTGAACAAGGAATATACCCTAAATACTAGTCGGATCCATAATATGACTTAAGCTATATTCCTTAATTAAGGGGTATTGGGCTCCCTGGGTAAGTAAAAATAATTTGGGGGCCAGGCGGACAGACGTGTCAACTGCCAAGCTTGCAGTTCCATGATGCTGTCTCAAGGACGGACTGTTTGTGGTTGTAAGTGTACTTGTAGCACTCGTAGTCGTCGTAGTAGCAGTAGTAGCAGCCGCAGTAGTGGTGGTAGTACAATACTTCGAGTAGCAGTGATATCAACACTGGTAGTCACTAGTACTGGTACTATTTCTGCAATTTTTGTCCAACGGTAAAGAAAAGTCCCTAAGCACCAACCCTGCAACCCTTCGCGTGCCAAACACCATGCGGTGGGGCAGCTGGGCTGCCAAACGCCGCGCCGTATGCGCTGCGAAGAACGACAACATGCTGAGGCCGAAACAATTGCCATGCCAGTACGCCCCAACTTGCTGTTTTGCAGGAGTCGACCAAGGCAACCCGTGAGCTTTTTTCACAGCAGTGAGACACAACAAATACGTCAAACTGCGCCCCGCAATACGTTCTGAACTCTTGAAGCCATGTTTTTGGAGGACACGCGGAGCCCTCAGTGCGGTGGGCCCTACATCCGGGCACTGGCAAATTACCCCTGGCGCTGGCGCCAGCGGCAACGGTGCCAGCAGCAACAGCCACGAGTAGCAGTGATAATAGCCAGTAATCGTGAGGGTAACATGCAGGTGACATCCCAAGGGCCTGAATGAGAATCAACCATCCTTTTCTTGGCTACATAACGCCCCGGACTAAATTTGTAGCATATCCCTTAAATAAATCCCCTTTAACCCATATATATATATCCCCTATAGGTTCCCCCCAAACCTAAATTTTGTCCTTTCTCACATAACCCATCCTTCATGCTGACGCCTAAGCCCTATACTCTATAACCCCATATATATATATACCCCCTATCCCTATACCCTAAACCCTTATGTTGACCCATTTATGGAAGCCAGCCTTGCAACCCCGCGATCGCGAAGGGCGCTGAGACCGCAAAGATGCCAGCATAGATGCAGACCCTGGGTGTATGGTTTCAAGATGTCAGTTGCTTTCCCTAAGCCCTAAACCCTAAACATCCCTAAACCATAGACCCTAAACCCTAAACCCTACACCCTCGTTGCTTTTCTGGTTTTGGTCTATGGGAACTTGGAGCCTTAGGGTTTGGGTTGAAGGTTTGATGGTTTTTTGATGGCTTGAGGTTTAGGGCCTTGGATGAAGAACCATGGATTTGAGTTCATGTGAGGCGTTGGGCCCAAATTTAGGGATTAGGTCGGACATCTTGTTTCACATCCGCCGAGCGTGAGGGGTGCGCTGGATGGTAAGGTCAGAGGAGACGGCTCTCTCCTCGTACAAACATGCCCTGAATGGCTCGCACTGCGGCAATCTCCGATGCAAAAACGTGCACGACGTCATTTGTGGATTCAATGCGCTGAAAAGTTTAGAACGGTGAGCTGGCGCGGCCGTACCCTGGCCCAAATGGATTGCGTTGAGTTTCGTGCTTGGCCGCAATGAGCTCCAGAACCGTGGCGTTGCCCGTGTGCGCACAGACCAGGTTCCAGCGCAGCACGCAGCGTTACCTTGAAAATCTTTGCTTGCGTTTGAAACATCTGGAAGCAACCTTGCTTGTGAATGTGGCCATCCGTCCAAACTTGAAGTGCGTCCATGTTTGCTCTTTTCTCTGCACTCCTACCCTAGGTCCCTAGGTGATCGGCGGCTCGGTTGGCTTCGCTCCAGGGCATTGACAATGTGCTCGGCATGAGCAGGAGGCTGGAGCAGGAAGCTCTGATGGTCCCCAAGGAGACGCCAAATAAAGCAATGGAATAGTATATTGGGGCTATATAGGG